ATGGCCCACTGGTTGGAAAACACTGCATTGGACACGTGTGTATGAAACTTTCAGAAACGACTGTAACAGACTGTCTTTGACCTGGACAGAGTTAGCGCTGGTCGTGTGTGGCCGCGGTGCAACCCCGGCTGAGGGTAACCTACTGTACATTCCCAGTGTGTGGGAGAGGACTGAGAGGGAGGGGAGAGAGGGGAGAGGGGGGAAAGGGGGAGGGAGGAGAAAAGAAATCCGGCCTGTCTGCTCTGCGGCGCGGAGACGGAGCGTGTCAACACCTGCCGGCGAGATTAGTGCTGTGACTGACTGACGCCAGCGGCAAACTGGTTTCTGCCTCAAACAGACGTTAAGCAACTCTAGGAAGTCTCCATTCCCACACTCCAGAGAACAGGGGGGGGGGGGCAGGCTTTATTGGACCAGGGTACAGGAGGGGGGGGGGGGCAGGCTTCATTGGACCAGGGTACAGGAGGGGGGGGGGGGCAGGCTTCAGGGTACGGGGGGGGGGGGGGGGGGGGGCAGGCTTCAGGGGACCAGGGTACAGGAGGGGGGGGGGGCAGGCTTCAGGGTACGGGGGGGGGGGGGGGGGGGGCAGGCTTCAGGGGACCAGGGTACGGGGGGGGGGGGGGGCAGGCTTCAGGGGACCAGGGTACGGGGGGGGTAGGCTTCAGGGGACCAGGGTACAGGAGGGGGGGGGGGGGGCAGGCTTCAGGGGACCAGGGTACGGGGGGGGTAGGCTTCAGGGGACCAGGGTACGGGGGGGGGGGGGGGGGCAGGCTTCAGGGGACCAGGGTACGGGGGGGGTAGGCTTCAGGGGACCAGGGTACAGGAGGGGGGGGGGGGGCAGGCTTCAGGGGACCAGGGTACAGGAGGGGGGGGGGGGGCAGGCTTCAGGGGACCAGGGTACAGGAGGGGGGGGGGGGGCAGGCTTCAGGGGACCAGGGTACAGGAGGGGGGGGGGGGCAGGCTTCAGGGGACCAGGGTACAGGAGGGGGGGGGGGGGCAGGCTTCAAGGGACCAGGGTACAGGGGGGGGGGGGGGCAGGCTTCAGGGGACCAGGGTACAGGAGGGGGGGGGGGGGGGCAGGCTTCAGGGGACCAGGGTACAGGAGGGGGGGGGGGGCAGGCTTCAGGGGACCAGGGTACAGGAGGGGGGGGGGGGCAGGCTTCAGAGTGTCCACTGAATATAGTCACTTTACTTTGTCCATTACTGCCCGGTCCTACATGTACAGTATATAACATGTACAGTATATAACATGTACAGTATATAACATGTACAGTATATAACATGTACAGTATATAACATGTACAGTATATAACATGTACAGTATATAACATGTACAGTATATAACATGTACAGTATATAACATGTACAGTATATAACATGTACAGTATATAACATGTACAGTATATAACATGTACAGTATATAACATGTACAGTATATAACATGTACAGTATATAACCACAGACAGTCCATATACGGTTGTTTTTAAAGACGGGTGTTGAAGCATTTACAGCAAATAAACATCTACTTCTGTTGTGTACTGTGTGTCCCACTGCTGTCCTGTCACGCTGTAGATGGACCATGCTAACGCTGTAGCTGGACCATGCTAACGCTGTAGCTGGACCATGCTAACGCTGTAGATGGACCATGCTAACGCTGTAGCTGGACCATGCTAACCCTGTAGATGGACCATGCTAACGCTGTAGCTGGACCATGCTAACGCTGTAGCTGGACCATGCTAACGCTGTAGATGGACCATGCTAACGCTGTAGCTGGACCATGCTAACGCTGTAGATGGACCATGCTAACGCTGTAGCTGGACCATGCTAACGCTGTAGCTGGACCATGCTAACGCTGTAGATGGACCATGCTAACGCTGTAGCTGGACCATGCTAACGCTGTAGCTGGACCATGCTAACGCATGTAGCTGGACCATGCTAAACGCTGTAGTATGGACCATGCTAACGCTGTAGCTGGACCATGCTAACGCTGTAGCTGGACCATGCTAACGCTGTAGCTGGACCATGCTAACGCTGTAGCTGGACCATGCTAACGCTGTAGCTGGACCATGCTAACGCTGTAGCTGGACCATGCTAACTGCTGTGGACCATGCTAACGCTGTAGCTGGACCATGCTAACTGAGCTGATGCTGGACCATGCTAACGCTGTAGCTGGACCATGCTAACGCTGTAGATGGACCATGCTAACGCTGTGCTGGACCATGCTAACGCTGTAGCTGGACCATGCTAACGCTGTAGCTGGACCATGCTAACGCTGTAGTGGACCATGCTAACGCTGTAGATGGACCATGCTAACGCTGTATGCTAACGCTGTAGTGGACCATGCTAACGCTGTAGATGGACCATGCTAACGCTGTAGCTGGACCATGCTGGACCATGCACGCTGTAGATGGACCATGCTAACGCTGTAGCTGGACCATGCTAACGCTGTAGCTGGACCATGCTAACGCGCTGGACCTGTAACGCTGTAGGACCATGCTAACGCTGTAGCTGGACCATGCTAACGCTGTAGCTGGACCATGCTAACGCTGTAGCTGGACCATGCTAACGCTGTAGCTGGACCATGCTAACGCTGTAGCTGGACCATGCTAACGCTGTAGCTGGACCATGCTAACGCTGTAGCTGGACCATGCTAACGCTGTAGTGGACCATGCTAACGCTGTAGCTGGACCATGCTAACGCTGTAGCTGGACCATGCTAACGCTGTAGATGGACTGCAACGCTATGAACGCTGTAGCTGGACCATGCTAACGCTGTAGCTGGACCATGCTAACGCTGTAGATGGACCATGCTAACGCTGTAGCTGGACCATGCTAACGCTGTAGCTGGACCATGCTAACGCTGTAGATGGACCATGCTAACGCTGTAGCTGGACCCTGCTGTAACGACCATGCTAACGCTGCTGGACCATGCTAACGCTGTAGCTGGACCATGCTAACGCTGTAGCTGGACCATGCTAACGCTGTAGCTGGACCATGCTAACGCTGTAGCTGGACCATGCTAACGCTGTAGCTGGACCATGCTAACGCTGTAGCTGGACCATGCTAACGCTGTAGCTGGACCATGCTAACGCTGTAGCTGGACCATGCTAACGCTGTAGCTGGACCATGCTAACGCTGTAGCTGGACCATGCTAACGCTGTAGCTGGACCATGCTAACGCTGTAGCTGGACCATGCTAACGCTGTAGCTGGACCATGCACGCTGTAGTGGACCATGCTAACGCTGTAGCTGGACCATGCTAACGCTGTAGCTGGACCATGCTAACGCGTGTAGCTGGACCATGCTAACGCTGTAGCTGGACCATGCTAACGCTGTAGCTGGACCATGCTAACGCTGTAGCTGGACCATGCTAACGCTGTAGCTGGACCATGCTAACGCTGTAGCTGGACCATGCTAACGCTGTAGCTGGACCATGCTAACGCTGTAGCTGGACCATGCTAACGCTGTAGCTGGACCATGCTAACGCTGTAGCTGGACCATGCTAACGCTGTAGCTGGACCATGCTAACGCTGTAGCTGGACCATGCTAACGCTGTAGCTGGACCATGCTAACGCTGTAGCTGGACACACCTTGCTAACGCTGTAGTGTAGCTGGACCATGCTAACGCTGTAGCTGGACCATGCTAACGCTGTAGCTGGACCATGCTAACGCTGTAGTGACGACCTGTAGCTGGACCATGCTAACGCTGTAGCTGGACCATGCTAACGCTGTGTAGCTGGACCATCTAATGCATGCTAACGCTGTAGCTGGACCATGCTAACGCTGTAGCTGGACCATGCTAACGCTGTAGCTGGACCATGCTAACGCTGTAGCTGGACCATGCTAACGCTGTAGCTGGACCATGCTAACGCTGTAGCTGGACCATGCTAACGCTGTAGCTGGACCATGCTAACGCTGTAGCTGGACCATGCTAAATGGACCATGCTAACGCTGTAGCTGGACCATGCTAACCGCTGTAGCTGGACCATGCTAACGCTGTAGATGGACCATGCTAACGCTGTAGCTGGACCATGCTAACGCTGTAGCTGGACCATGCTAACGCTGTAGCTGGACCATGCTAACGCTGTAGCTGGACCATGCTAACGCTGTAGCTGGACCATGCTAACGCTGTAGCTGGACCATGCTAACGCTGTAGCTGGACCATGCTAACGCTGTAGCTGGACCATGCTAACGCTGTAGCTGGACCATGCTAACGCTGTAGCTGGACCATGCTAACGCTGTAGCTGGACCATGCTAACGCTGTAGCTGGACCATGCTAACGCTGTAGCTGGACCATGCTAACGCTGTAGCTGGACCATGCTAACGCTGTAGCTGGACCATGCTAACGCTGTAGATGGACCATGCTAACGCTGTAGCTGGACCATGCTAACGCTGTAGCTGGACCATGCTAACGCTGTAGCTGGACCATGCTAACGCTGTAGCTGGACCATGCTAACGCTGTAGCTGGACCATGCTAACGCTGTAGCTGGACCATGCTAACGCTGTAGATGGACCATGCTAACGCTGTAGCTGGACCATGCTAACGCTGTAGCTGGACCATGCTAACGCTGTAGCTGGACCATGCTAACGCTGTAGATGGACCATGCTAACGCTGTAGCTGGACCATGCTAACGCTGTAGCTGGACCATGCTAACGCTGTAGATGGACCATGCTAACGCTGTAGATGGACCATGCTAACGCTGTAGCTGGACCATGCTAACGCTGTAGCTGGACCATGCTAACGCTGTAGATGGACCATGCTAACGCTGTAGATGGACCATGCTAACGCTGTAGCTGGACCATGCTAACGCTGTAGCTGGACCATGCTAACGCTGTAGCTGGACCATGCTAACGCTGTAGATGGACCATGCTAACGCTGTAGCTGGACCATGCTAACCCTGTAGCTGGACCATGCTAACGCTGTAGATGGACCATGCTAACGCTGTAGCTGGACCATGCTAACGCTGTAGCTGGACCATGCTAACGCTGTAGCTGGACCATGCTAACGCTGTAGCTGGACCATGCTAACGCTGTAGATGGACCATGCTAACGCTGTAGCTGGACCATGCTAACGCTGTAGATGGACCATGCTAACGCTGTAGCTGGACCATGCTAACGCTGTAGATGGACCATGCTAACGCTGTAGATGGACCATGCTAACGCTGTAGCTGGACCATGCTAACGCTGTAGCTGGACCATGCTAACGCTGTAGATGGACCATGCTAACGCTGTAGCTGGACCATGCTAACGCTGTAGCTGGACCATGCTAACCCTGTAGCTGGACCATGCTAACGCTGTAGATGGACCATGCTAACGCTGTAGCTGGACCATGCTAACGCTGTAGATGGACCATGCTAACCCTGTAGCTGGACCATGCTAACGCTGTAGATGGACCATGCTAACGCTGTAGCTGGACCATGCTAACGCTGTAGCTGGACCATGCTAACGCTGTAGATGGACCATGCTAACCCTGTAGCTGGACCATGCTAACGCTGTAGATGGACCATGCTAACGCTGTAGATGGACCATGCTAACGCTGTAGATGGACCATGCTAACGCTGTAGATGGACCATGCTAACGCTGTAGCTGGACCATGCTAACCCTGTAGCTGGACCATGCTAACGCTGTAGATGGACCATGCTAACGCTGTAGCTGGACCATGCTAACGCTGTAGATGGACCATGCTAACGCTGTAGCTGGACCATGCTAACCCTGTAGCTGGACCATGCTAACGCTGTAGCTGGACCATGCTAACGCTGTAGATGGACCATGCTAACGCTGTAGCTGGACCATGCTAACCCTGTAGCTGGACCATGCTAACGCTGTAGATGGACCATGCTAACGCTGTAGATGGACCATGCTAACGCTGTAGATGGACCATGCTAACGCTGTAGCTGGACCATGCTAACGCTGTAGCTGGACCATGCTAACGCTGTAGATGGACCATGCTAACGCTGTAGCTGGACCATGCTAACGCTGTAGATGGACCATGCTAACGCTGTAGCTGGACCATGCTAACCCTGTAGCTGGACCATGCTAACGTGCTCCACAGGGAAGTCTCTCGTGGCTCCTGTTGAGCTGTAAACTCCTCCGGCTCAGTAACTGTCTGTGTCTTAAAGCTGTGGTTTATGGCTCTCTCTGATCCTGATGTTGATATTGTCTTTGGAAATCCAGATATGAGCCATAAAAAGACTTCCTTTATTCTCAGGGAAACTCCACATTGCCTTAATCTTAGACGTCTGTTACGGCGGTAGACATGCCCATATAAGGAATTGGCTCGAGCTAGCTTATGTTCAAATAAACCTCTGTGGCGTTAAGGCTAACGCAGTGGAACGACTTTACTCAAACATCACAGTATAAACTTCAGGATCTCACAGAGCGATAAACAGCAGAGTGAGGCCCAACATGGTGATGTCACACAAACGCATGCAGTTTACTAATACATTTAAGTCAGTAGGAGCCAGAGGGAGGAGCCAGAGGGAGGAGCCAGAGGGAGGAGCCAAACTTCACCTGTTGGGCTACATTGAGCTAGCGGGTTAGCGCATTAGCATTGTCCATCTGTGTACAGTCTGTGCTCTGACCTGTCCTACTAAGTGTCCAAGTTTAAAAAGACCTGTTTCAGCCAAAGTATCAGAGTTTGGTGATATCTTATTTTGTTTTGTTAAAGAGGAAATGTGTGAAGAAAAAAATAAAAACAGTTTCAAGACAAAAAACAGAAATACAACTTTATTACAATGACATTTCTTGAACATTTTCCAGTATTTTGACTTTTCTCTTTTCTTCACAGATGAAGACGATGATGACGAAGACGGCGAGGAGGACGACGAAGACGAGGAGGAGATCGATGTGGTCACGGTGGAGAAACGGCGCTTCTCCACAACGGCCTCCAAACTCTCCGCCGGCGGCCGCTTCCCTCAGCGCGGGCCACAGGAGCTGATCCTGAAGCGCAGCTGTGTTCACCAACAGCAGCACAACTACGCCGCGCCGTCGCCGTACGCCTCCGACGACGACCGCCCCCCCGCCAAGAAGCACCGCCCCCAGGAGCCCGCGCGCCCGCCCAGCCGCACCAGCCACGCCCCCTCCCCCACCTTCCCCTCCTCCAACCGGAACAAGCGGCAGCCGAGCGGAGACACCAGCCCGCGCTCGCCTCACGCCAACTCCGACTCCGAGGACAGCGAGCGCCGCCGCAACCACAACATCCTGGAACGACAGCGCCGCAACGACCTGCGCTCCAGCTTCCTCACGCTGCGCGACCACGTGCCCGAGCTGGCGCGCAACGAGAAGGCGGCCAAGGTGCACATCCTCAAGAAGGCGGCGGAGTACGTGAGCGCGCTGGAGCGGGAGGAGGCGGGGCTAGTGCGCGAGAAAGAGCGGCAGCAGTCGCGCAAGCAGCAGCTGATGCGCCGGCTAGAGCAGAGTCGGACACGCCCAGCTCAGAAATAGCCCCCCCCTGTGGACGCCCCCCCCCAACCGCCGCCCCCCCAACCGCCGCCCCCCCAACCACACCTTAAGCAAAGAATGTAGAATGTATGTGCGCTTGGCCGTGTGTCCAAAGTTTGCGGTGTCTGTGTTGAATTTGTGTTGCTACAAAGTGACCCCTGTTGTGCGTTCAAGCTTGTCCAATAACATTCCGTCGTGCAATATATCGCTTTTATTGTTTTGAAACTACTTTATGCCTCTGAAACAATCACCCAAGAGCAGGATAATCTTTGTAAAATTATGAGCTAAATTGCAGAAAAAAAAAGCTAAAATGCTAACGACATGCTAACACTATAGCAATAGACTCTGACGTCTTCAGCGCGTCTTCAGCGCGTCCCTGACTGCGTTTACAACAGTGGCGCTGAAAGGCCGTGTCAGACCTACAACTATCATATAGTTTATACTGGGGGCCCTAACTGTGGAGGCCCCTCTCTCCCCACCCCTCAGCACAGCCCCTGTTGAACTCCGAAACGCACTTATTACGCCTACGATACAAACACGTGCGCGCTCACGTGCACGCTCACAAGTGCACGTTCACACGTGCACGCTCAAAAGTGCGCGCTCACACGTGCACGCTCACAAGTGCGCGCTCACACGTGCACGCTCACACGTGCGCGCTCACTCCGTGCCGAAGCTTCAGCGAAAGGATGCGGCGAGAAAAATGACTGAAAAAAGGGGGAAAAGCAACACAAATGTATGTTTATGAGTTAGAAGCTGGTTTTGGACACACGGGGGCGGGGCCACAGATCTCAGAGGACTCTCCCCGGGGGCGGGGCCACAGATCTCAGAGGACTCTCCCCGGGGGCGGGGCCACAGATCTCAGAGGACTCTCCCCGGGGGCGGGGCCACAGATCTCAGAGGACTCTCCCCGGGGGCGGGGCCACAGATCTCAGAGGACTCTCCCCGGGGGCGGGGCCACAGATCTCAGAGGACTCTCCCCGGGGGCGGGGCCACAGATCTCAGAGGACTCTCCCCGGGGGCGGGGCCACAGATCTCAGAGGACTCTCCCCGGGGGCGGGGCCACAGATCTCAGAGGACTCTCCCCGGGGGCGGGGCCACAGATCTCAGAGGACTCTCCCCGGGGGCGGGGCCACAGATCTCAGAGGACTCTCCCCGGGGGCGGGGCCAAAGTCTCTCAGACTGTCACTGCAGACACTTTTTTTGCACATTTTGTTGACGTTAAGAATGTCTCGGGTTTACGTTTAGGATTTTACCGTCTTTGCCCCAAACTCAATCCACGCATCGAGGAGAACAACGGAAGCAAACTTTAAAAACTGTCTTTTTTACCGAAGTCTTCCATGGGACGTTTTTGTATCTTTTCTGTACCTTTGTTGTTGTTTTTCATGTACTCACTGTGACACCAGCCTGGATTCAGGGAACTTAAAGAAAGGTGTTATGGGCACTTTGCTCACTTTCCTCAACACTGCAAGAAAACTATGTGTACGTTAAAGGAGACACACCATGGACCTGGGAACACCATACCATGGGAGACACACCATGGACCTGGGAACACCATACCATGGACCTGGGAACACCATACCATGGGAGACACACCATGGACCTGGGAACACCATACCATGGACCTGGGAACACCATACCATGGGAGACACACCATGGACCTGGGAACACCATACCATGGGAGACACACCATGGACCTCGGAACACCATACCATGGACCTGGGAACACCATACCATGGGAGACACACCATGGACCGGGGAACACCATACCATGGGAGACACACCATGGACCTCGGAACACCATACCATGGACCTGGGAACACCATACCATGGGAGACACACCATGGACCGGGGAACACCATACCATGGGAGACACACCATGGACCTCGGAACACCATACCATGGACCTGGGAACACCATACCATGGGAGACACACCATGGACCGGGGAACACCATACCATGGTATGGTATTGTGAGATTTCATTACACTTTTAAGCAACTTTTGTTATAGTTAAACTCATCATTCTATCAATGTGCAGAAGCCAGAACTTTTCCCTTGTTCCTGAAGAAGATGACATAGTCTGGGATCGCGTCTTTCATTCAGACAGAAGACATGTTTTATTGTCGATGGTAGAGACAGCACGAACAACACGAACAACAGAATGCAAGTGTATTATACAGAGCGGAGGCATGGAGACCTCCAATCAGCAGCTGCCACAGTGCCATGTAGCTTGGCCTTCAGATAGACACAACAAGGGAAAAGTACAGGCTTCTGCACATTGATAGAATGATGAGTTTAACTTTAACAAAAGTTGCTTCAAAGTGTTATGAAATCTCACAGTATTCTCAGTCAGGTATGAATCCCATGGACCTGTCATCTTTACATCAGCTCCTGGTTTTAGACCGGTCGTTAAAGTGACCAAGATTTAGTTTGAACTTGTTTGATCTGGAGTTTATATTTTAAATATTATATATTTATTTATAACTCGGCAGCCGCTCAAAGGGTTTTAAGCCTAGCGTACATCGACAGAGAAACTGGAGACGACTAGTTGAAGACGGCTTTTGGCAACTGAGAGGAGATGATGGAGATGATCAGCTGAAATCGGTCGATGTGCGCGCTCTTACAACTGGAGATGAACAGTCGGTCTCCAGTTTCAGTCAGTTGCCCGTGTTCTACTTTTCGGCAACTAGTTGTACTCAGTTTCGGAGATATGACCCGATGTGCGCGCTCCATGCGCCGCTCTGACAACGTGTGTGTATTGCGTGTATTGCGCCCGCAACAGTTTATGTCAGAAAACACACTGTAGTTGAGGCCAGTTGCTTTTATTCCCGAGACTGGTCTGATACAGGAGCTGCCCGTTTTCGTCAGATTGTCGATGTGTGCGAGGCAGGAACTCATGCCACGGATATAATCAGTTGCCAGTCCCATGTACGCTAAGCTTTAGGAAGAAGAAGATTTGTTTCTTTATTTCAAACATGCAAAAAATACAATTATTCACAGAAAATATGATAAAATAAAAAATAAAACTTTTGCATGGTTTGAAAAGAGACCGATCGAATCAAAGCTTATTTCAGACACACACACACACAAACACACACACAGACACACGCACACACTCACACACACACACACTAACACACACAAACACACACACAGACACACGCACACACTCACACACACACACACTAACACACACAAACACACACACAGACACACGCACACACTCACACACACTAACACACACAGACACACACACACAGACACACACACACAGACACACTAACACACACAGACACACACACACACAGACACACACACAGAAACACACACAGATACACACACACTCACACAAACACACACACTAACACACACACAGACACACACACACAGACACACACACACAAACACACACACACTCACACACACACACACAGACACACTAACACACAGACACACACACTAACACACACACAGACACACACACACACACACACAGTACACACACACACACACACACACACTAACACACACACACACACACACACTAACACACACACACACACACACACACACACACACAGACACACTAACACACACACACACACAGACACACTAACACACACACACACACTAACACACACAGACACACACACACACACTAACACACACAGACACACTAACACACACACACACACTAACACACACAGACACACACACACACAGACACACACACAGACACACTAACACACACAGACACACTAACACACACACACACACAGACACACTAACACACACACACACACTAACACACACAGACACACACACACACAGACACACACACTAACACACACAGACACACTAACACACACACACACACTAACACACACAGACACACACACACGCCCAAAACGCTCACTGACCCCTCAGTGACTTGGTCCAAAAGATATAATGTAGTGTATATGCCAGGGACGCGGCTGAAGTTGGCTGGATGACCGTCTCCCCATATTAGCTACTTTAGCTACAGTAGCTACAGTAGCTACAGTAGCTACAGTAGCTACAGTAGCCTGGTATAAACAGTTTGTCCCTAAACAATATCAATAACCTTTGGGCTGCCTTGTTATGAACACATGATGTCCAGAGAAGGGGGCGGGGACAGGTGGCAGGTGAAACGGTCCATAAGTGTCTCCTTTAACGCCGTCTCAGAGCCTCTTGTCACGCGCTGCTGTGGAAGTGTCTCCTTTAACGCCGTCACGCGCTGCTGTGGAAGTGTCTCCTTTAACGCCGTCACGCGCTGCTGTGGAAGTGTCTCCTTTAACGCCGTCACGCGCTGCTGTGGAAGTGTCTCCTTTAACGCCGTCACGCGCTGCTGTGGAAGTGTCTCCTTTAACGCCGTCACGCGCTGCTGTGGAAGTGTCTCCTTTAACGCCGTCACGCGCTGCTGTGGAAGTGTCTCCTTTAACGCCGTCACGCGCTGCTGTGGAAGTGTCTCCTTTAACGCCGTCACGCGCTGCTGTGGAAGTGTCTCCTTTAACGCCGTCACGCGCTGCTGTGGAAGTGTCTCCTTTAACGCCGTCACGCGCTGCTGTGGAAGTGTCTCCTTTAACGCCGTCACGCGCTGCTGTGGAAGTGTCTCCTTTAACGCCGTCACGCGCTGCTGTGGAGAGGGGGCGGGGACAGGTGGGAGGTGAAACGGTCCATAAGTGTCTCCTTTCTCGTCACGCGCTGCTGTGGAAGCGACTGCACCTTTGACACTTTTGTAAATATGGATGTTGTAAATACCAAACTCACTGCGGCTGCTGTCCACGGGTTTTATCGAAGAGAACATTACCTGCATTTAGTTTGGCCTTAAACTGGTGAACTACAGAGAGTGATGGGTTCGGATCCCAATCCAACATGGCGCGGTCCGAAGGCCAGCAGTGGTCATTTACACACAGACACTGAAGGAAGTCCTTTGGATTTGAATCAATGTGGACAACTTTACCCCAAAGACTGCAAACACATGGACCATGCTAACCCGCTAGCTCAATGCTATCCTACAAGCTCAATGCTATCCTACAAGCTCAATGCTAACCTACTAGCTCAATGCTAACCTACTAGCTCAATGCTATCCTACAAGCTCAATGCTATCCTACTAGCTCAATGCTAACCTACTAGCTCAATGCTAACCTACTAGCTCAATGCTAACCTACTAGCTCAATGCTAACCTACTAGCTCAATGCTAACCTACTAGCTCAATGCTAACCTACTAGCTCAATGCTAACCTACTAGCTCAATGCTAACCTACTAGCTCAATGCTATCCTACTAGCTCAATGCTAACCTACTAGCTCAATGCTAACCTACTAGCTCAATGCTATCCTACTAGCTCAATGCTAACCTACTAGCTCAATGCTAACCTACTAGCTCAATGCTATCCTACTAGCTCAATGCTAACCTATAAGCTCAATGCTAACCTACTATCTCAATGCTAACCTACAAGCTCAATGCTAATCTACAAGCTCAATGCTAACCTACTAGCTCAATGCTAACCTACAAGCTCAATAATAACCTACTAGCTCAATGCTAATCTACAAGCTCAATGCTAACCTACTATCTCAATGCTAACCTACAAGCTCAATGCTAACCTACTAGCTCAATGCTAACCTACAAGCTCAATACTATCCTACAAGCTCAATGCTAACCTACTAGCTCAATGCTAACCTACAAGCTCAATGCTAACCTACAAGCTCAATAATAACCTACTAGCTCAATGCTAATCTACAAGCTCAATGCTAACCTACTAGCTCAATGCTAACCCGCTAGCTCAATGCTAACCTACAAGCTCAATGCTAACCTACTAGCTCAATGCTAACCTACAAGCTCAATGCTAATCTACTAGCTCAATGCTAACATACTAGCTCAATGCTAACATACTAGCTCAATGCTAACCTACAAGCTCAATGCTAATCTACTAGCTCAATGCTAAACTACAAGCTCAATACTATCCTACAAGCTCAATGCTAACATACTAGCTCAATGCTAACCTACTTGCTCAATGCTAACATACTAGCTCAATGCTAACATACTAGCTCAATGCTAACCTACAAGCTCAATGCTAATCTACTAGCTCAATGCTAACCTACAAGCTCAATACTAGCCTACAAGCTCAATGCTAACCTACTAGCTCAATGCTAACATACTAGCTCAATGCTAACCTACTAGCTCAATGCTAACATACTAGCTCAATGCTAACCTACTAGCTCAATGCTAACATACTAGCTCAATGCTAACCTACAAGCTCAATGCTAACCCGATAAGGAAGTGCTCATGGCTGACGTAGCTCAGTAACGTGTGACATCACCATTTTGGACTACAATGCGTAGTTCTTCTTTGTCTTTATTAATCCAGGTATGAGTCATTACAAAGGACCAATCAGGAGCCTTTTATCCCTTTAATTAGCTTAGCATTAAGGCTAACGCTATGCTAACTTTGCTAATACGCAGCCTCAGTCTCAGGATCTGTGAGTTTTATAAAGCAGCATTGAGACAGAAGGGTTGGGGGGACGTGCGTTTATAGTCCTTTAAAAAGCTTCTGGTTCTATCGTTACATTCTAAAACTGGATCTCTCCCATCCGCAAAAAACATGAAATTAAAGCAGCAAGCGGCGTTGAGTGGCCCTAACCCTCACGACCCTTTTGTGTATGGCCTAAATATTGTCATTTTGACCTAAAACGATGCATTTTTTTGTATCGGTGAAACAAACCCGCGCCGCAGCCGCAGACCCGCCTTTTCGTATAACTTTTGTTCTTTATAAACGTCTTTAAAGCTGCCAATAACTAGACTGCAAGTTTATACAAAGTACTGTAAGCCTCAATTTTCAGAGTCGCAAAAAGTTTGTAACATGTTTCTTAAGTTCCTCTTGTTTTGTACCTTTGTCTAACATTTGTTTTGTACCTTTGACTAACACTTGTTTTGTACCTTTGTCTAACATTTGTTTTGTACCTTTGACTAACACTTGTTTTGTACCTTTGACTAACACTTGTTTTGTACCTTTGACTAATCCTCCACGTTCTGCTTATAGCGAGACTAAATGGGATTCTTATATTTTCGTATGAAAATGAGACGTAGAAACACTTGGTCCTAACTGTGGACACATTAGTGCTGCAGCTCATAGCACTTTGAAATACCTCATTCTGGAAATAAATACACTTCAAATGATCCTCTCTCATTCTTCAAGTGTTTAAAGCTCGGGGACCTGACTTTCACATCACAAACACTGTATAAATATAAAATCATTAGTTCCCTTCTTTGTTTCTGTCTTTGTCACGTTTTTAGATCAGATTTAACAGAAAAGAATCAAAGAGAGGACCACCCTCTCTCAGCCAATCAGCTCTCAGCCAATCAGCTCTCAGCCAATCAGCTCTCAGCCAATCAGCTCTCAGCCAATCAGCTCTCAGCCAATCAGCTCTCAGCCAATCAGCTCTCAGCCAATCAGCTCTCAGCTAATCAGCCCTCAGCCAATCAGCTCTCAGCAAATCAGCTCTCGGCCAATCAGCTCTCAGCCAATGCTCTCCCTGTGTCTGTGGTTTCCTCCAGGTGCTCCGGTCTCCCCTACCACTAAAAACATGTACAAAAAGGCTGTAGCTCTGGTCAGGGACAGAGCACAGGGACACAGAGCACAGGGACAGAGAACAGAACACAGGGACACAGAGCACAGGGACAGAGCACAGGGACAGAGAACAGAACACAGGGACACAGGGACAGAGCACAGGGACTGGCCCCGCCCACTCGCACCTCTCTGGACGGCTTCTTCTTCTGCAACAAAACTCTGAGTATTGTGATACAGGTAGCCATGGAGACGGGAGCAGCTGCTGAGGGGAAAACAGAGAGAGAGGGGGAGAGAGGGAGAGAGAGGGAGGGAGAGGAGAGAGAGAGGGAGGGAGAGAGATGGAGAGAGGGGAGAGAGAGAGGGAGAGGAGAGAGAGAGGGTGGAGAGATTAGGAGAGAGAGGGGAGAGAGGGAGGGGGAGAGAGATGGAGAGAGGGAGAGGAGAGGGAGAGGAGAGAGAGAGGGTGGAGAGAGAGGAGGGAGAGAGAGGGGAGGGAGGGAGAGAGATGGAGAGAGGGGAGAGAGAGAGAGAGGAGTGAGAGGGAGAGATTAGGAGAGAGAGGGGAGAGAGAGGGAGAAGGGGAGAGAGAGGAGAGAGGAGAGAGAGAGGGAAGGGAGAGAGATGGAGAGAGGGGAGAGGGAGAGAAAGGAGGGAGGGAGAGGAGAGAGAGAGGGGAGAGGGAGAGAGAGAGAGAGGGAGAGAGAGAGAGAGGAGAGAGAGGGGAGGGAGGGAGAGAGATGGGGAGAGGAGAGAGAGGGGAGAGGAGAGAGAGAGGGTGGAGAGATTAGGAGAGAGAGGGAAGATGAGGGAGAGGAGAGAGAGGAGACGGGGGAGAGAGGAGAGAGAGAGAGGAAAGTGGGAGAGAGATGGAGACAGAGAGGGGAGAGAGGGGAGAGAAAGGAGGGGAGGGAGAGGAGAGAGAGAGGGGGGAGAGGGAGAGAGACGAGGGGGGAGGGGAGAGAGAGGGAGAGAGAGAGAGGGAGAGAGAGAGAGGGGGAGAGAGGGAGGGAGAGAGGGGGTGGAGAGGTGAGGAGAGAGTGGGAGAGAGAGAGAGAGAGGGAGAGAGAGGGAGGGGGGGAGTGAGGGGGAAGCAATGGAGGGAGAGAGACCAGTGAGAGAAAGACACCAGAGACACACACAGACACGCACACACACACAGACACACACACTCAAAGACACACACACACACGGCTCATGTATCCAGGGTCACCATCTGTTTGGGGGGTCCTCTGAGGGTCCAAGTTTGGTAAAAGTTAGAAGTGTGTGATTGTTTTTTTTATAGTTTTGAGTCTGTATGTATACTGAGACATGTATACTGAGACATACTGAGACATGTATACTGAGACATGTATACTGAGACATGTATACTGAGACATGTATACTGAGACATGTATACAGACACATGTATACTGAGACATGTATCTACTGAGACATGTATACTCAGACATGTATACTGAGACATACTGAGACATGTATACTGAGACATGTATACTGAGACATGTACACTGAGACATGTATACTGAGACATACTGAGGCATGTATACTGAGACATGTATACTGAGACATACTGAGACATACTGAGACATGTATACTGAGACATGTATTATACTGAGACACGTATACTGAGACATACTGAGACATGTTATTCTGAGACATGTATATTGAGACATGAATACTTGAGACATGTATACTGAGACATACTGAGACATGTATACTGAGACATACTGAGAAATGTATACTGAGACATGCATACTGAGACATACTGATGACATGTATACTGAGACATACTGAGACATGTATACTGAGACATACTGAGAAATGTATACTGAGACATCTATACTGAGACATGTATACTGAGGACATACTGAGACATACTGAGAATGTATACTGAGACATGTACACTGAGACATGTATACTGAGACATACTGAGGCATGTATACTGAGACATGTCTACTGAGACATACTGAGACATGTAATACTGAGACATACTGAGACATGTATATTGAGACATGTATGTCTGATACACGTATACTGAGACATTACTGAGACATGTATACTGAGACATGTATATTGAGGACATGAATACTTGAGACATGTATACTGAGACTACTGAGACAGGTATACTGGAGACATACTGAGAAATGTATACTGAGACACACTGAGACATGTATACTGAGACATGTATACTGAAACACACTGAGACATGTATACTGAGACACATATACTGAAACACACTGAGA